GGAGAAAGGGCTGCAAAGTTCAAAAAGAGAACTCCCAGAATGACCGCCAACTGGGAACTCTTTGGTACTATTGCGGCAACATGGGAAGATGCCATTGTTGACAACATTGACGAGGAATACGATCGACTGGTTCAGCACCTCCATGAATGTGCGAGGAACGCCAAGAGAGAGATAGCCACAAAAAGTCGCCTATCTTCGAAAACTCTTGAGCTAATTCGCCAGCGTGGTTTGGCGCATGCCTCAGGCAACCGCAAGCTAACGTCCGAGCTTGCAAAGCAGTGCAGAGATGCGATCAAGGAAGACCTCAAAGAGAGAAGAGCAGAAGTACTGGTAGATGCGGCAGAAGCCGGGAAAAGTATTCGTAACGCCCGCCTGTCCTTCGCCAACTATAAGACCAAGATGACTGCCCTCCGACATCCTGATGGATCCATCACATCCTCCAGAACGGCAATGGAGAAGATTATCCATGACTTCTACTCAAATCTCTTCGATAGCCATGTCCACTTGCCGACATACCAAATTCCACAGGATGGGTATGTCGTTCCTAACGTTCTCCCTTCCGAAATCCGACACGCCATTTCGTTGGTAAAGAAGCAAACAGCACCCGGCCCAGACAAGGTCAGACCTGAACACCTGAAGAACCTGCCGTCAGTACTCATCAATACACTGGCTCGGCTCTTCACTCGCTACCTGTCTGAATGCAAGGTTCCGTCCCAATGGAAAACCAGCAGGACCGTACTACTGTTCAAGAAGGGAGACATCCATGACATTGGCAACTATCGCCCGATCTGCCTATTGTCTGTCATCTACAAGCTGTTCACTCGAGTCATCCTGAATAGGATTGGCAGAACACTAGATGAAGGACAACCATGCGAGCAAGCAGGGTTCCGCAAAGGATTCAGCACCATCGACCATATCCACACGGTAACCAAGCTCATTGAGGTTTCTCGGGAGTTCAAGATGCCGCTCTGCTTAACGTTCATTGATTTAAAGAAGGCCTTTGATTCTGTTGAGACGGAAGCGGTCATTGAAGCCCTAGCCAATCAGGGCATTCAAGCCCAATACATCAGGATCCTCCGTGAGCTGTATTGCAGATTCACTACCAGGATCTCACCATTCTACAAAGAAGTGATCGTTGATGTCAAGAGAGGGGTGCGGCAGGGTGATACCATTTCACCGAAACTCTTCAGTGCCACCCTCGAGAACATCATGCGACGACTGGAATGGGAAGGAATGGGAGTGAAGATAGATGGTCGGCAACTACACCACCTCCGCTTTGCTGATGACATTGTTTTAATAACACCAAACATCAGCCAAGTGGCACAAATGCTGGCCAACTTCGACTGTGAGTGTGGAAAGGTAGGACTACAGCTGAATGTTATGAAGACAATGTTTATGAGAAACAGCCTTGTTCCTGACGCCCCATTCGCTCTCAATGGAACGACCATCTCCGAATGCAACAGCTATGTGTACCTAGGTCGAGAGGTCAACATGACAAATGACCTGGCACCCGAGCTGCGCAGGAGGAAGAGAGCGGCTTGGAACGCCTTCAAGAACGTCGAAGAAATAGCTAAGAGGATGAAGAACCTCCGGCTCTGGGCACATCTCTTTGATTCCACTGTTCTTCCTGCATTAACATATGCCTCAGAGACCTGGGCCCTACGCAAACAAGATGAGAACGCCATTCAGGTCTCCCAAAGAAGAATAGAAAGAGCTATGCTTGGAATATCACGTTTCACTCAAATGAGAGAACGAATCCAGAGTTCTGACATCCGTCGACGATCAAGGATCAGGGACGCTGTCTCATATGCCAAGGTGTCGAAAATCAGATGGGCTGGTCACGTAATGAGATTTAAAGACGACCGTTGGACTAGAGCTGTTACTGATTGGATTCCACGGGATGTCAAGAGACCGCGTGGCCGCCCACCTACCAGATGGTCAGACTTCTTTGTCAAGATCATGAACGATCGGTTTGAGGCCCTCCATGTTCCCGGAGCGAAGAGATGCCATTGGGCTACACTAGCACGCGACAGGGACAAATGGAGACGTTACTGGCGCCCGCTCGAGCAAATCGACGACTAACGGGAAGTTAAGTGATTAAGTGATTTCCTTTTGAGAGACTGTTTTTATGTTTTGAGGGTAGATGCCCAAAAAGCAGAATTGCTGGTCAAATGGCAGTTCAGTTCTAAGTTTACTGGGAACTTTCCATACTGTTTTCAATACAAATTATTTTTTAAAAACAATTTATATTATACATTCCTTTTAAATTACCTATGGGACAGATATACTTCACTCCCTCTCTCTCCCTCTCTCCCTCTCTCCCTCTCTGCTTCATGATCCAATAATCAAGTCACTGATTCTCGTGTTATAAATCCATTTATATTATCCATGAAAATCTTTACAGATATAAACTATTATTCTTTGAGACTTATCTATAAAGTGATCTTAAAGTTGAATGCTTTTACAAATGTCTCAATCAAAAAAGAATATCCTAAAGATAGGATTATTGATTAATGAAGATAAGTGAGATTAAGCTTATAAAATGAATAAAACCTGCAGTATTCCCATCACATTACTTCATTGTGCTATAAGAAGAGAGCTCAGAGAGATGCCTCCAGACACTGCACCAGGCTGAGTCTCGTCCCAGGCACCCTAGAGAGGAACAGGTAAGTCCCTTCACCCGCCTCAGGAGAGCCCCGGCAGCCAAAAACCTTCAGAATCTAATTGTTGTCATGCTCATGGCCAATCTCCATATGCTTGAGACAAGCCTCATCCTTGAGAATGAATCTTAGGCAACCTGTCCCCATCTTCCTGTTCTTCCTGGAGCCTGGCAGTCGCACCCACAAACTGCCTCTCGTGCCATATAAGCTCACTAATGGCCATGATCCAGAGACTCGGATATAAATCGCAGAAGAGAGCAACATGCTACAGAGATGCCTCTGGACCCCAAAGGTCACCACCTAGTTGAAAATTTAACTCCAGCTGTATCACCTTGTTTAAAATTTTAGAATTCCTGAAAGAACATCTCATATTCTACTCCACTGATGTACCAAGAGTAGTGCACCACAGTTGGTGGGGTGTAAAGTAGAAGGCAATAGATATTGATCAAAAAAATTAGCACACAGGGCTGGAGCGATAGCACAGCTGGTAGGGCGTTTGCTTTGCATGCCGCCAACCTGGGTTTGATTCCCAGCATCCCATATGGTCTCCCAAGCACCGCCAGGAGTAATTCCTGAGTGCAGAGCCAGGAGTAACCCCTGTGCATTGCCAGGTGTGACCCAAAAAGAAAAAAAAATTAGCACACGAGGTTCAACCTGTAACAACATGTTAGTAATCTCTTATACAAGGGCTTAATGGCTCCAGGGTGAGATACATCAATCTTCACACACTTCCTCCTCTAAGGATACTTTTTTGGATCATTATTAGTGGATTATTCATAACAAGCATACAAAATAAATTATTTAGGACCTGCTCTGCAGGCAGGTGTGGGTGAGAAAATTTGAAATAACTGGTGGGAAGGTGTAATGGTGGTGAGATTTGTGTTGAAATATTGAATGTAACAAATTGTTTCAAACAACTTTATAAAAATAAAGTAAAAAAGGACAGAGCTCAGTGTAGAACAGGTGACAGTGGCGGTGTTCTTATAAGCATACAAGGACTTATTAGGAAAACATATGCAGAATTACTGCAGCACTCCTTCAAGCCCAATTGGAACCCAATTAAAAAAAAGAAGTTCTCATTTGAAAGGGAAGCACACAGTGTGAAAGTTGTGTTGTCACCGAGAGACAAGAGATGTTTTCTGAGTCATGAGAAGCCCAGAGTTTCCTTTGTCTAAAGTCCTGAAGTACCAGGACTGGAAATGTTTCTAATACCCACCCTACCACCAGTGTACATTCTTAATCTGCAGGTGAGTTCAAGAAATCTCAGCTGCCACCCTGTCTGCTTTTCAGAGGTACTGAATTGTCCTACCCATATCATCCTAGGTTTATTGAGCAGGTAAGTGGGTCAGATTTTAATCATAACCAACTAGAAAGGCAGAGAAAAAGTGGCAACTATCAGGACATGTTTCTACCATCTCTTCATTTACAGGTCAGCATCATCCCCCAGATACTGAAAACATACTAGTAATAAGAGTAAAACCAAGGGTGACATTCTCCTGCTGCCAGAGCAGTTTGCTTTCTCACTTCCTTCTTGCCCTTGGTTTTCTTGGAGTCAGAGAGATAATACAACCAATTAGGGTGCTTTCCTTATACACAGCCAACCTTTAGGGTGCTTTCATTATACACAGCCAACTGAAAATTCTATCACCAGCACCACATATGGTGCCCCCCAATTCCTGCCAGAAGAGATCCTTGAGCACAGAGCCAGGAGTAAGTCCTGAACACCACTGGGTGTGGCCCCAAACCCAAAATTTTATATATATATTATTATATATGTATTATTTATATATATATATAAAGATTGGTTCTCTTTTTGCATAATATATCTTCTTCAGCTACCAAGCTTTTCTGAAATCATAACACTTAACCGGCCTTTTTTTTTTCTTTGAAATATAGAGGGCACTTCTAGAAGGATGGGAATCTAAGATCACATATTTTGCAGATCTCTTTCATGACCTAAACCAACACTGTAGTCCATGCATGAATAAAATTATTTACACAGTAAAAGTAGAACTCATGGATAAAGGAGCCTAGATTAACAGAGATAGTCATATCTCCTATACAAGTAGAAAAGCACTTTAGTTTTGTCAAGATACAGTCCTTAAAAAATGTATGATTGTGAATGTAGGTTGTTGTAAAAAAAATTGAATCATGCTGGAAAAATAATCTGATGTTGTTTTATGTTGAAGACATTTTAATTTCAGTTAAATGTCAGGAAGTGAATTAAATCCTAAGTAAAGCTTAACCTAAAATTATATTTGAAGAATGGGTCTTTGAAACCTAGGGAAATGTGGCTATAGTTTGTTTTTATTTCTTTGTGCTTTCTTTTAAACACTGTAGGCAACAGCTTTATTGAAAGAAGCCCTTACAGAAGAGTGTGATGCTAGGTCAGCTATTCACAGTAATGAGTCATCTTGCAGCTTGCCATCTATTCTGAATGACAATAGTGGAATCAAAGAAGCAGAACCCGCTCTGTGGCTTGGGGGTGTCCTTACAAGGAAACAAGGTAACTATTGTTAAGGACTCTGTCCCCTGCAATCTACATGACATCCTCTTTCTCAAGGTATGCCTGTAAAGTAACTAGAAAAACACCCCTGAGTTCTTCTGTGTAGCATATTACTTGTTTTATATCACCTTCCATTAAATAGTCACGTTTGTTTGGTCTCTTGGAAATAGGATATCTAATGTAAGTTAGTAATTCTAAATTCCCAGTACAATAAGCATTTGTCAGTTGTGAATGTTTAATCAAATAAATCTTGGCAGTAGATGATTTTCATCAGTCCACAAAGATAAAGATGATTCCATTGTAATTATTCCATAAAGCACTGTAAAGAGTTTGCTAACACTTCGCTGGACTCTTTTTATAATTTCTAAATATTCTTTTTGTTTACATAAAAACATAAAGAAGTCTAAATAGATGATGATTTTTAAAAATCAGTGAATTTATGTCCTCTCAAATTTAATAACCCAGTTTAATATCCAGAAATTATGACTATTTTAGCAATACAATGTTATTTATACCAATAAGCCACCATAATGGTATTTCTATCCAAGGCAGCAATGAATTGCTCAGGATGCATTTAAAAGTTGATGTACATGCACAGAATTTGAAGTTAAGCCCCAAATGAGATAGATCATCTTTTATGCTAGGTTATTTTGCATAAAAGAATATATCTTAGTTTTACCATAGGTTTTCTTTTTAGAAACAGTACTGTTTCAGACAAAAAATTAGTCCCCAAAAGGAGGTGAAGAAGCAGGGGGAGAGAGTCAAGGGCATAACAGCCACATCCCAGAAATATAACCTTGAAATGTATTTTGTTGTAATATGTTTGGTTTTCAGAAGTTTCAAGTAGCTGCAGAGAGGAGAGCAAGAAAGAAAACCCATCAGCAAAGATTCCAGTCACAGGTAAAGTTCTGGTTGCTGACATTCCAAACCCAGGATTCAACCTTACTATAAAATCAGAATATCCTAGGCTAGTGGTCTGTGAACTCTGCTAAAAGCAAGTATTTTCAGCTGCTAGATATTGAAGGAGGAGATCAAATATAAGAGCATAACATGTGAGCTTACATTAATAAATAACCGAAGGTGGAAAATGATCGTGTCTATTGAATTCTCCACAATCATGTTATACATTCACACATGTGAATATCCCCCGCCCCTCTCACATAGCCTTTTAGCACCTGCGTCTGTGTGAAAAGGTCAGTCTCCATGGGGAATACCCAGTCATTCTATGTCAAACTACAGATGTTTCAGATTTTACTCTTTTCTTTCCTGTGATAATTGAATGTGTATCATTAAAAGAAAAGCAGGGTAGGGTTGGGGGCGGGGAGTCTCAGGAAGGAAGGAAGCTTGTTTGTGTTTCAGTTACAAAGCTGGTCAGATAATTCAAAATTTTTAGTCCTAAGGTTTCATCAAAACTGTTCCTGTTTTGGTACATGCATTAGGCTTGTTTAGATAGAATCTATCATTACTTCTCTTTTTTGGCTTTAAAATATCCACAGCAGCAATTAGTATTCTGAGCAGACTTCTATTTGTCATACATCTAAATTTACTAGTACCTTGTTTTGTAAAGTGGTGTACTACTTCATTATAAATTCAAAGGTCTGAGTTTAAATATTTATACAAGTAAATACACCATTGCATTGAGGCATAGAGGCATGCATCTGCATATGTGGTAGTTTTGTTGTTTATAAGCAGAAAAGAATGGCTTTCTTTTATGACAATATAATTCATGGCCTGATGATTAATTTTTTAAACCCATGTTTCTATGATGAACTCTGGTTTTGAAAAAAAGAGTTTATAGTGGAGCAATTATTGTATATATCCTGCATCAGATAATATTTCACTGTCTCCAGAGATTTTTTTCTTTTAGGCGTTTTCCCAGTGATGTAATTGTTTATTACATATTTATTCTCTTGAGGGGTGGCCACACCTGGTAATACTTAGGGGTTATTCCTGACTCTGCTCTCAAGAATTACTCCTGGTACTACTGGGGAGATCACATGGGGTGCTGGGATGGAACCCAGCCATCAGTGTGCAACGCAAGCACCTTACCCACAGTACTATCACTCCAATCCAGTATATTTATTCTTAAATTTGAACAATGACAAAAACTGTTGTAGAGTCCCCTCTTTATTAATATATTTTTATTGATAGAAGTATAAATGGTTCCAACCTGGAAAAAAAATATAATGGTCATTCAAATGCTATCCTCTTAATTCACTTTTGAGTATAGAAGTATCAAAGGACCTCTGAATTTATCTCAGTTAAAATGATAGAGTCTAGGGGCAAAGGACAGTGATATCGTACAGGGTTGCATTACATATGTCCAAACTGGTTTGATCCTTGTCTTCACACGTGGTCCCTCAGGCACAGCTGGAATGATCCCTGTGCATGCAGCTGAGCACCAGAAGGTGCGACCCGAAATTCCCTTCCCAAATTATAGAGGCTCTTTGATGAGAACTAGTAAACGAATACTTGCCCTTTTGTTTGTTTACAATACTATTAATAATGGTTTCTCGTGGCCAAATTCCAGCACAGTTGCCCATTCTTCTGTGCCCTCTCACTTCCTTGGCTTAGATGATGGACAGTGGGCAAAAGGCACATGCTTGGTTGTAGTTCGCACACTTGTGGTGTGGTCCTTGCTAGGTGGCCGTACTCGGTACTCGCTGGGCTCAAACACTTTAGTGCAGTGCTGGTACACAGGCTTGCCAGGGCTTACGCCGTTTCACCTGGTGTTTGCCCCGTTCTGACCAAGTGCTCATGCTTTGACTGTAGTTCTCACCACCTTGCACGGCTGGACTCCTGGGCAGCAGAGATGCAGGGACTGAGCTTAGCACATGTGGGTGGCCCTGGAGCTTTTACTTTCAGCCTTGGCTCATGGTTCAGGTCCCTTTTGTGCTGAGCCATCCTTAGACCCCCTCTGCTCTTTTCACTTGCCTCTAAATTAATGCAGATGTTTTCCTTCCTGACTGGAGCTGTAGGGCGTTTGCCTTGCATGTGGCCCACATGGTCGACCTGAGTTTGATTCCTCCGCCCCTCTCAGAGAGCCCAGCAAGCTACCGAGAGTATCTCGCCCCCATGGCAAAGCCTGGCAAGCTTCCCATAACATATTCTATATGCCAAACACAGTAGTAACAAGTCTCACAATGTTACTGGGCCCGCTTGAACAACGGAGGACAGTGACAGTGAAGGAAAGAGTTCTGAGCTGCAGTTTCAAGTCTGTCATATTGTCACAAGCAGAGGTCTGATGTAGAAATTATAGTGTCTGTTTGTCATCATAACTATTAATGATACTGTTGTTTCAGCCGCCCACCAGATATCTGTTACCATAAGTTTCAGAAAATGCTTCACATGTTGAGGTTAGATCTCAAGTAATCAAGTGCCTGCCTTGCATGTGTGGGGCCCTGGGATCATCCTCAGCACCACATGGGTGTACACCCGAGCACTTCTGAGTGAAGGACCTGACCTGGAGTATTGCCCACTGTGCCCCTCCAGTTCCCCGCCCCCCCCCCCAAACACTGCAACCAGATTGCAACTGCAGAAGGTTTTGTGCTGGATAAATGATTTTGGAAACTTTTTGCTGTTTTCTTTAAAGAGGGGGTGTTGGGGGGGGGGGAATTCCCAGTGGTACTCAGGGGTCACTCTTACCTCTTCACTGAAGGATCACTAGTGGTGGGACTCAGTGGATCATATGGGGCACTAGTGAGTGAATCTGGGTCAGCCACATGCAGGGCAAGCACCTTACCCTCTGTACTATCTCTCCAGTCCCTTGTTGGTTTTAGAACTTAACTTTGAAAACCATTGAGTTTATTCCAGCTTAGCTGTTTTGTTCTTACCAGTCTTTTTGCTTCACTGTCCCACTCATAAACCATAAATCCTATTCTCACATCTGTCATCAGAGGCTCTTTTCTCTCTTAAGTGTTTTGTTATTTTTTTTAATGTTTGATCTTGAAGGGTGTTTCATTATTTTTAATTAGTTTTGGTTAGTTGTGTAAGCCATTCCTGGCAGTGGACCAGGTGGTACCAGAGATTAAATCTAGAGCTTCACCAATACAAATTGTATGCTTTAACTTCTTGAACTGCAACCCCAGCCCTCGTCATTTAAGTTCTTGACTATATCCTCTTTATTAAATTTTTTATCATTTGGCTTAATAATTTGGAGATTTAGCTTTTGATAGAACAAAGCTATTTTATAGCTCAAATTTAAGTAGTTCTACTTCCCTTTTGGAATAGTTCTATTGAGATTTTCATATTTATAATGGACTGCACTTCTAGAATATTCCAAACAGAAAGACTGTTTCAAAGACTAGCCTGTAGAGCAGTGATCTTCAACTGCTGGCCCATGGACTGGAGCTGGTCCACAGGTATGGAAAAGTTGAAAACCAGTGGTCTACTGCAGTGGTTCTAACTTCTGCTTGGTGAACTGGTGTTCAGGATAGGTGCCAGTGCTCAGGTATAAGAAGACTGCTCTGGGTGTTAGACAGCTATCGTGGTGGAGCCTGAACCTTGGCCAGCAGTATTATGTCTTTGCTCCTCGCTCCAGATTTCCATATCTCTGCATCTGTTGGGAAAACAGACACACTGTCTGGCAAGATAGTGTTAAAGCTGAAACGAGATCATGTGAGAGTGCCAAGCTTATATTGGACACAATATTTATTACTCGCAACTTACTAGAATAAAATGCATGTGAATCCACAATCCTCAATATATTTGAACTACTGCTACCTAGTTAAGAGGACTTCACAATACCAACTCAGAGGGGAAGAAGCGAGCAGAGGGTTGGAGGCAGTGCTAGAGAGAGTGATCAGGGGCTGTGTCTGGGAAGGACACCTGGACCCTGACTTCCCTGAGGTACATAGCCACTTGAGACTAAGGCACACCCACGTCCTGTGCTACCCTCATTCCTCCTAGATAGTGTTTCCTGATAGTAGCACGAAATTTGTCTGCAAATGGGGGTTGGAGAGATGGTACAGCAGGCACTTGCCTTGAATGTGGCTTACCCAGGTTCAGACCCTTGCATCTCACATGGTCTCCCAAGCATCACCAGAGTAATTCCTGAGTGTAGAGCCAGGGGTAAACACTGAACACCACAAGTGTGGTCCATAAAGGAACGGGGGGGGGGGGGGGGGGGGGGATTCATCTGATTATCTGAACCATTGAAAAGTATGCATATAGAGTTTCAAAGAATTTATTTTTTATTTGAAAATGAAATCCTTGTAGGGGATATGGTGCCGCCAGCAGGTCAATCTGTACCTGTGAGGCGAGTGCATCAGCAGCCTGATGGCACCTTCAGACTTCCAGGTACCCCCAAATTGCTGCTGTACCTTTGGCCAGACCCCAAAAACTTGGGGCAAAGTTTACCAAGAAAGTAAACGGCCAAAAGTTAGGTATGTGGGAGACACCCACAAACCACTTCCGGCTCAGCTATATACTTGGAGGCATGGCCTCTCTTGTTCCTGATCAAACTGCTTAACAGCCATGATCCCAAAGACTCAGAAACAAATCTCGAAACCCAGTGGCTTTTGGCAGAAATGTGTCCAGTCCCTACAGTAGGTTACTGGCGCTGGGCCACCCCAGGTGGGAATAGGTTTCGTGCCTTGGCCTGTTCCCCCTAGCGGCTTGGTGCCGCCATCCTTGAGAGGCCACTGGATGGTCAGGTTTGGGCCCACAGTGGGGCCTCATGGGATGGGGGTGGAGCCGGCCCTTTTCTCCCCGTCCCAATGAGACCTCAAGTCGTCACCCACGAACAACCTCTCTGGCTCCTGATCAAATTGCTTAATGACCATGATCTCAGAGACTCAGAAACAAATCTCAAAACCCAGCGACTTTTGGCAGAAATGTGTCAGGACTGCACAGGAGGTTACTGTCACCAGGAGACCCCAGGGGGGAAAGGGTGCTGTCCC